AAAAAAAAAAAAAAAAAAAAAAAAAGACCCTTTTCAGAATTTGCAGGCAAAAAGTGGTTTGTATTAGGGTTGAAATTTGCCAATTATCATAATGTGCAAATGGATTTTGAATTCTCCGGCTTTTCACATCGTGTAGCGTGCACGGCTGCTGTTGCCAGCTCTGGCATATGAGCTCCAGCGAGGCCCATCTGCCGCTCTGGCGCAGCTTGCCTGACACAGATTTATTTCATTTCGTTCTTTAATTTGGCAACATTTTGTCTTTTCTCATTATCATAGCTGGAATTCAGTACCAGTACTACTTATTTTGTTTACCGGTTTGTTGTCTCTTTTGTTCTATTTTGTGAAGACGAAGAAGCCAACAACGGGGATTGTGTCTTGTGAAAACCCAGTTCCTGTCCTTCGGGATCTTGGGCATGTCTTGCTGGAGTGTGCTCTCTCTCTCTCTGACACTTGCAAGCCATTTCAGTTCTTTTGATTAGTGGAAGCCTTCATGGTATATTTTTTCAAAGAGCTTAGTGTTCCTTTTCTTCTCCTCTGCCCACCCAGGAAGATTTGGAAATGGTTCCAAATAGAAATTATAAACATTAGCCTTGAGCTATGCTCTCTGGTGTTTGGTACTTTTTGTTTGTTTGTTTTTAACCGAAGGCTCATGTTTGTTTAATCTTCATCACTACAGCAGAAGTTGGTGGTGTGAGACTTCCGCTCCGCCCTAAGCACCCTGCACTTAAGAAGAGTTTTTCTTCTGAATTGGTTTGTATTTCAAAGAACACGGGGGTAGTCTGCCAGATTGCTAAGAATTTACTCAAGTGAAACTTTAGAACTGTTAGAGTCCTCTTAGAGATTTCTTGAATGGATTTGTTGGGACAGGATAGCTGCTGCCTAAGAAGCCTCTTTGAGCCTAATACAAAGAATGTCTCTTCAACACAAAGTAAGACTTTCTGCTGCTTTTTTCTCTAGGTTACCCTGAAGAAACTTACCCAATTTATGACCTTTCAGATTGCATCAAGCGTAGGCAAGAAACCATCTTAGTGGATTACCCTGACCCCAAGGAACCGTCTGCTGAAGAAATAGCTGAAAGAATGGAATTGCTAGAAGGTGAAGAATCAGACCATTTGGGGTGGGGAGTGCCTACTGACCCCAGAGTCCAGGAAGATAATTCTGTTACCTCATGTGACCCAAAGCCAGAAACATGTTCCTGCTGTTTTCATGAAGAGGAGGATCCTGCAGTCTTGGCAGAGAATGCTGGATTCAGTGCAGACAATTACACTGAACAAGAGGAAGCCACCAAAGAAGTATGGCCCCAAGACTTCAGGGATAAAGGGTTGGGCATCAGCACTGATAAAGCACATACAGATGGTACATTGAGGAAGCGGAACCCCCAGGGTTTGGAGTTGAAAACAGCTGGTTTGGGGAAGTATCCCTTACTCTAGTCCCAAGGTGACCTTTCTCTCCTTTCTCCGATTTCATCCTTGGCCCTGTGCCCTATACTTCATTCTGTGTTTAAATATCCTAGCTAATCAGGCCACTACCATGGATATCATGTATCCTTCCTGGTGCTCAGACACCTGTCACCTTGTAAAACACGATAGCAATTAGTATGAACATAATACAGCTTCACTCTTTATGCCTTTCTTCCACCAGAGAGTCGATCCACTGAGTAATTATGTTTGATCTGTTGTACACTCAGGGACAGGGGTCTAACTCCTCGTGCTAGGAGTAGCAGATGGTTTACTTGTGAACGAACATCCGTTTACACGTGATGAGGACTTATGGTTGCAAAAGTGAAGATTTCAGAGTCCAAGATGTCTTATTCTGTGGGCCTTGAGCAGGTTAGTGGTCTCCTGGGTTCAAGAAGAGAACATTTTTTGTGGGTATGATGGGGCCAGAACAGGGTAGGACTCTGCTGTGTGCGCTGAAGCCCGTTTGCCACAGCAAGGGCCTTTTTAGGAACACTGTTGCTGCCTCAGATACCTGCTTTTCTTCAGAGTAGCAGAAGACCCCAGTGATTTGTGAAGGAGCCTGGAGACCTGTTGGGGGACTGTTTTGCTCCAGTATTGCCTGGATCTCTAGCTTCCTTTATCCCTGTTGTGTTCACAGAACTGCCAACCCAGAAGCACCTTTATACCTCTGGCCCTCAGTGGCCAGAAGAAGGTTTAAATAGAGACTTTTTAGGCCTTGCCCTCCAGATCCAAGGTTTGAGGCTGTTAAGGCTACAAGAAAGCCGTGTGAGAATGCTGGTCTTCCATGAGATGCTCAGGTGGCCAGAGAGCCAGGGATAGGGAAAGAATCCATGTGTTTACAGCAGTCCTGGCCTGGAAGCTATTCTAAATGTTGTGCCCTCTGCAACCACATGAATTGAAACAGAAGTGAGGACGACTGAGCTTGTAGACAAAGTGCCAGCCCCAAAGGGAAGTTGCAGCGTGTGTCTTTTGCAGAGAATCAATATAGCAGGGGCATATAGCCCCTATAGCTATATAGGCCAGGGGAAGAGACTATTTGTTCTCTATTCAGGTATCTGGGTCTTTGGAGAAGGGTCGGGAAAGTAGGAGGTAGGTTATGACTGGAAGGATTTTGACCAAACTAAAGACCTCATCTCTAAGGTGCCATCTGCCATGTGTCTTCTGGAGATAAAATGGCACCCAGGTATCCTGGCTAGTAAAGATGAGTGAATTCAGTTTACATGTAAGACCTGAGTTTAAAGAAGACACATTCCCAAGAACATTCCCAATCATAAAATGCAGAAGACGTGAAAATTAAATTATGTGAGGGTAGATAGAGCTTTTGGAGTTCCATTGTTCCTAGTTGTCTAAGATGCCAGGAAAATAGTTAAAATCACACATCTAAGCCTATAGACGGTCAAAAGGTATGGGATCATATTAATATGTCAGCTACCACTAGGCATTTCTTGTTGATGAAATTAACATTTTTGTTAGAGAAGTCATTGAAGACTGAGTCTGTAGGAAGTATATTGCATCTATCTCTGTGTAGAATATTTGATTCACTTTAAAGAATGTAGTTTAAAATGTACTATAAATGATCTAGATGTAATGCTTAAGGTAAAAAATAATGTAGGTGCTCTGAACTGTTTTGATAAATTGTTTTCCATTATTTCCTTTTATTCACTGTGAGGGGTTGATTTATGAGGAGTCCTGGGTCCCTGGTTCTAATTTCTTTTTTGCCTTAGTATATAGGTTTCCATTATTAAGATGTGTTTGTTTCCAGCTTGTTCATTCATGTGTTCATTTAGACACTGCCCAGGGGTAGGCAGTGGGAGCAGGGGCTCAATTCCTAACTTTGAGAAACAAAATTTGGTGTGGGAGCCTTGTCTAATTTATTATTTTCAGTGAACTATTAACTATAAAAGGGCTCAAGATGGTGAATTCTGCAAGCAGAGAAATGTCGGTCATGATTCCACCCATGCCTATTCTGTCCATAGAGTCTTGTTGGGTCCTTAACCCTTCTGAGTCTTGGTTTTCTCCTATCTAGTGCAGGGGAGTACAAGTCCAGGTCTCATAGGGTAGTTAGGAGGATTAAACCTGAACTCCTCAGTGCATATAAAACAGCATTAGCCCTCCTATCTCATACATAACCACTCAATAAGTGGTAGATAATTTACTTTTCTTGTACAAGGCTTTATGCTGTAATTGAGACATGGACCCAAATCTATAGAAACATAAAGATCATTTTGGCCAAAGTACTTCCAAGACACTTGACGGGCGAGTTGGATCTTGAGGCGTGCTGGGAACTTCAGGTGGCCAAGGAAGAGAACATTCTTGGCAGAAAGGGCAGTGTTAGACAAAACTGGTGTGAAAAGTGTATGGATGTTCAGGTATTTTTGAGGATGGTGTGTAAGGTGTTGCCTAACCAACTCTTTAATTTTGAATGTTAATCTTTGGGGGAAATGGCTTATGGGAATAGTTCCTGCCAGAAGTACTAAGAGCTCATGATGGTTCTTGCTGCCCTAGCTCTTGGTTGGCTTAAACAGCAATAATAAATATTAACACATTTATATTTTAGAAATTTTGATTATTCACCAGTTGTTTAGTCTTTTGGATTTTCCAGAATTATTTTATCCTTCAGGGATGACAATTATGTGTACATACAACTCAGGATGACCAAATCCTAGCACTGGTTTTCGTTGTCATGCCTGCTCTCGCTCTCACCATTGTCTTCATTTTTCAGAACTGGTCTGGGCTGTGAACTTGGATGAGCCCCCAGGTACTAGTTTTCAGTGACCTTTGAGCACTGTGGCAGAGCATGGAGGACAGACAGTTGGCCTAGGAAGCCACTGCGTCACCTGGGACCATGCTTGGTTAAATCAGGTGGGTGATCCAGCCAGGAGATGCTCTTTCCTGTCCAATAAGAGCAAAAGAAAGCACCTTCCTAGCTCTAGGACTGGCAGTATACACACTCCAGAAACTACACCCAGGAAGGAAGGCGTGTTGAAGAATGGAGGCATAGTTGACCTTTAGAAGAGATGGCCTAGAAGAACCACACTCTCTGTACCTTCTAGGACTTGGGTGATCAATGACTCATGGTACAAACTAAGACACTTTGGGGAAAGGGGACTTTAATTATAATTATGCCAGCACAATAGGTGTAAACCAGGACCATCCTGGATGTATTTAAAAGACTTGTTTTTAACCTAACGACTAAACAAAAACCTCTTCCCTTTTTAGTAAGAACCTGTATTGTTGTTTTCCACAGAGGCAGAGCCAAGGAGGTATAGGCCATGATTGAGGCAGGAAATTATCTTAGCCACATAAAAACTCCAAATCTAGGGTAAAAAATAAACCAACCCTATTTTTGTTCCCAAGGGCCGGGCCCTCAGGGCGACACTCGGGAACCAAACAGCCCATTCTTGCAGAGGACTGTGCTAACCTAAGTAACTTCTATCCTTAACTATTCTTCCAGCCTTTCCCAGCCTGTGTGTGTATGTGTGTGGTTCTCACCATCCTTAAATTTGAAGAGCACAGCCAGAGACAGGACAGCCTCAACCCACATGATAGTGTTTCCAACCAAGCCATGATGCCTTCCCACCCACCCCCGAGGCTCTTAGGACAGAAGGAAATGAATGGTGTAGGAAAAAACTTTAGGTAAGAAAGGTTTTTTTTCTCCTTTTCTACAAAGAAAAAAATGCACAGTCATGTTGAAACAGTTCAAGTTTAATTTGTTGATATATGGTCTGTACTTAGACAAACACTAAGTTCTACAACATATATAATGTCAACATGGGAAAATACCAACTTTGTCATTGCACATACCAGTAAATAAATACATTTGCTCAAGAATACCAAAGAGTTTATTCAAAAAGTCACTTAATAAAAGCACAGTTTTGCAAGTTTGTCTAAAACTCCAGATAATTTTGAACAAAAATGTCTGACCACTCCAGAATAGGAAAAGACAATCTTGTGCAAACAGACATACACATTCTAGGCATTATGAAAACTGGCTAAATGTATATTCCCAGCAAGAGAAGTGCCACCCATCCTGACCAAGTCCTCTTTGTAACTCTGGCCTTCATGAGGCCCTTTCTAAGCCCCTCAGAATTACTCTCTAGGAAACTCTGGATCTTGGCCTTATCTATAGCTCTGCCTGGACCTTGATGGGGGGAAAAGGAGAGGGACAGGAAAACAGAAGAGAAGAAAGGAAAGAAAAAAGGCACAGTGATGAGCCAGAAAAGGTAGTGATGAAAGCAGGGATCAACTTTAATTCACCCTCTTACTGAAGGCTTGGACAGTCCAACCTCCTCAGCTGTAGATGAGAAAACCACCTAGAAAAACGTGCTTTGCTCAGAATCACCTAGCTACTAAGTGCAATAGTGCTCTCTATAAGACCAACTTGCCTCTCAACTTGGGTCAGAAAATTAAACCTATCCCCAGTACACTTCTGGGGTATTGCTTCTCCCTCCCCCTAATCCTGAGATGACAGAATTGCAAACTGGAGGTACAGAAGGACAGATAACCAGTAAACTCAAAACAAGAGCCCATCCTGTTCCTGGGGGCTGCTATAGTTCAGTGCTGGGCACAAGATCGCAGACTCCTTAAACTATCTGGATAAGTGTGCTCTGAGGACCACCTGGTATCCTGAGGTCACAGGTATAGCTTAGCAAAGAATTCTAGAAAGGGAAGGCCAGTGTTAGCACAGTAAGGGAAAAGCAGGGACTCCAGATAGGAAATGTCATTTGTGCTTGCATAACAGAGCCATGGTCCTGGCTTACTGCAGACCCCACTGTGAGGAAGCATGTACTTACTAGGTTTGAAGTCCTCACTGCTGCTTATTAAATTTAGAACTGCCTCTAAATGTAAACTGGCAGAGCATTTATCTGTAAGTATTTCCAGACCCAAGACAAGCTTCTGCTTCTATAATTTTGCTGCCCTTTTTTGTCACTGAAGGATGCAGGCTCCGAAGGTCCTCTTCTAGCTTGTGATTATTACACTTGCTCGCTTCCAGTGCCTGTCCTCAGCATGAGTCTGGACCTTACCTGCTCCTCCTAAACTAGTGTCGTGATTTTTAAGGCACATTCACTAGAGTATGTTCAGATTCATCCAAAAGCATGCATATTTCTTCAGGTAATGCAAAATGGAACTGAAACTAAAGTTTCTTGGATGGTATCCTCCCAGTCAGAACCCCTGGGAGAAGGAGCTGCTACTTTCCCAGGTCTACTTTCTGATCAAAGAGCATGAAATGAAAAAAAAAAAAAAATCCACAGGTGATCATAACATCCTTATTCCTTTCCTACTCAGAACTATGATCGTAGTAAGAAACCTCAGTTGGTGATTTGCAGATTGCCCTTTTCCCCAGTTACACACAGAGACACAGACACACACAGACAGACACAGAGCACCTTGGAGCCAGAAGGAAAGAAAAGCTAGATTTGGAGAAGAGTGGGGAAGTGAACATCACTGCTCTGTAGAAGAGCTGTTTGGGGTAAGAGGGAGTAGAGTTTTGGGGTGTGGCCCCAGGAGCAGTACAGAGGAGCTGCCGAAGGTCCCAGCTGCCCACCACCCTCAGGGCCTGCTCATTTCATCATCCAGTCACCAGGTGCATAGAGGGTATGAAGGGCAAGAGCTGTTCCCGTGGGAGATGCTGAGCCCAGATGGTTTCCAGGGGCCCTGGCAGCTTTTTGAGTCTTTGGGCCCATGGAGAGGCCAGTGGACAGGGAAACCCAGCATCACCAGGAGTGGGGCCTTAAGAAAAGACCTTGTGAGGCTGGAGCTCAAGCACCCATCACCCACTGCTCACCAGAGCTTTTTTTCCCCAGGCCCGGGCCACACCAAGTTCCTGACCCCACCAGACTATCCAACCACCCTGCTCTCCTGCACATTTGCCACTGGGCTTCTACCTTTTCCACATGGCCACCTGGATTCCCCCCTCCCTAGGATCTAAAACAGCTCATTCTACTTTAAAATCAGAGATGCCGCTTGACCCAGACTTGGGAGATCTAGTTTTCATCATCCCAACTGTCAGCAGGTCTCTTCCCAAAGTGAGGAGAAGAGCCAAACTAGAACTACGGAAAGGAGGAGGGCCCCACGGTACCTCATCAAGAAGTGGATCAGCCCTGGTAAAAGTCTCGTGCCCTCAAGAGTGGTCTGGAAACTAGACCAGTGGAAGGGCCTCACACATATTCACACTAGAACAGGTGTCCCTTGCTATGAGCACTCAATGTAGGAAGTCCTAGATTAGAAGGAAATAAGAACTCAGTACCTTCCACTTAGGTCAGAACAACTCCCCCTCACTACAGAACCTCACTAGAGTAGTTAGGACTTATTTTAAAAAAATTTCTACACCACCTTTCCAAGCACACCTACTCTGAAGGGAGAAGCTATTCCTCCTTGCTTCCCCTTGACTTCTGACCACCATCTGGGCGAGTAGCCGGGGGAGGGGGGGGGGTGGTGGTAAATGACAAAACAGGTAAGGGCTTGGCTTAGCGTTTCCAAGTCTTCAGGGTAGATGGTGCCATCCCAAGAGGAGGAGGATGGAGGGGGGAGATCAGGCCCAGCCCTGGAACACTCACACCCCACCCATCACACCCGAATAGAGAAAGGGGCAGCAGCCTTGCTAAGGCCTGCCCCCTGAGCCAAACCCAAGCCAGTCTCAGAGTGATACCCAAAAAGCCAGCTTTCAGTCTCTGTAACCAGACAAAAGGGTGAGGGTATGCAGACTGGGTCCCAGGAAGGCCAGAGAACCAGTTTCTTGGGGGATGGTAGGAAAAAAGAAATCAAGGGAGCTGAACTTTGCCACTAACCAGCCAGGTGACCCAGTGCAAGTCCCATTCCTGTTATGATTCACCTAAAGTACTACTAGTTCATCACTAAAGGCCCTGCCATCTCAGCTCTCGTGGTTCTAAAATACTCCCTGCTTTCTTCACCCTGCCCCACTCCCACCCAGGAAGAACCACACCTTGACTGACCATAGGAGGAGCTGAAGCACAGGCAAGAGCACTGAGCTGGAATTTCTTCCCGGAACATGCCAGGGTTCAGGAGTAGTGCTCTGCCCACTAGAGTCCCAGGCCCGCCTACCTGTGTGCACTCAGGCTGACAATCTGGTCCCCGTCCACATTTACTGGGGATAGTGCAGGAACTGCTCAGTAGAAAGCTCCTCTGGCAGTTGACAGGACTCCCAAGACAGCCCTGGTCCAGGGAGCCTTTCCGTGTACCTCTTACACGTGGACCTGTGTCCTACAGGCCCCATCCTCTAAGACATCTGGCCTGGAGGCCCAGCTTCCTACTGCCTGTCTCTGTGCACATGGAGAAAACCTCCCACAGCCAGGCCCCTACAGTCCTGACAAGGTCCTGCCACTCACCTTTCCCAAACCCCTATAACTCCTCCCAGCCTGGCTGAGGCCTTCTGAAGCCAGAGGACTTTCTGTAGTTAGCAAAGGACTTGGTAGCCGATCCTTGCCCTTCTGTGTAAAGTTGATGTACCCAACACACACAAACACTGTGCCCTTCACTAATGGGGGACCCGTCGTCCCCTGACTCCTAGGCTGAGGGGATGGCTGGGCCACAGGAGCCCTGCATTGTGCTTCCTCTCCCTCTACACGTCTTCCTACCTTCCAGCTGAAGAGGCCGCCCAGCTTGGCAAACATGATTGCAGCAGGATACTAACCCAAGAGTTGGGAGTGTGTGTGTGTGCGGCCCTTGGGGCACAGGAAGAATTCATTCTGGTCCATTCACACACACCTCCCCCATCTAGTCCTCTGTCTCAGCAGTGGAGGCGGGTCTGAGCTGGCTGGGCCAGGGAGCCACCGAGAACAGAAGGTTCATCTGGCAGGAGGCCTATGTACAGAGGGTAGGCAGGGCTGTCTCTGCAGGCAGCTCCACTCCAGGCTGGGCAACCCCAACGGGCACAAGGAGGCCCTCTACTCGCAGGCCAGCTTGCTGTCGAAGCTGGACAGGGCGATGGCGAAGGCCTGCAGCGCACACAGTGGGTAGTTGTAATCCATGGTGAACACATCCTCTGCTACACGGCCAAACTGCATCACAATGTAGTCCGCTGGAGGCAGGCACAAGTGTGCACAGAGAGAGAGAGAGGACAGGGCAGGGATAGTAGAGATGAGGAAGCGGGAAGAGAAGGAAGCCGAGATGCCAAGGGAAATCCCAAAGGAGGTAAAACACAGACCAATGGGGAGAAGTGGTGGGAAAGAGGGAGCAGATGACACAAGGAGAAAGACGTATAAACACCAGAAGACAGAAGAGAAAAAGTCCATTCAGAGGGTGTTTCCGCACCTGAGACTGCTGACTAGGGTTAGGGCTCCAAAGAAGGTTCTTCCAAAGGCCTCCCCGTCATTATGGTTAGAGAGCTCTTGACATCTGACCTAAGCCGTATGACCCACGTCCTTAAGCTCTGGCCTGTAAAGGCTGGGCTGGGTGAGTGAATCCTGAGCTACAGGCCATGGCTACCACGTGGATGATAATGAGTAAGGGCAGAAACACTCACGGTCATTGCCATGGATGATCTGGAAGTTCTTCACAGAGGCCTGTGTGACGCGCCCGTGGAAGTTGAGTACGTAGGACTGTGTGTCGTCATTCCAGACAGGCGTCTTGTTTTGCAGCTCAATGATACTCTCCGTGTTCTTATTCTGCCAGCGTGCTAGCAGCGTCTCATGCTCCTGGGAAGGCAGCCTCCCCTGAGCCAGGCCCAGCCCTGTGCTGCCGCACCACAACCACCCTGAAGAGGGATGTGCCCTGGGGGCGGGGTTCTTAGATTTCCCTAGACCTCCACGGCTTCTTACAGTGTGTCTCCTCCACAGACACAAGCCAGCTACAGTTCTGTCCACAGAAGTGCATGCAGAGGCTGGGATGATGGGGAAGGGGTGGGCAGAGACTCACGTTTCGGGGCCGGATGGAGACTCTCTCATGAACCATGTTCATGCCTGGGACAATCACGCTCATCTTCCGTGGCCCCTTGAAACCTAAGACGTTTGTCTCCTGGGAAACAAACACAGAGCGAGAACTCAACACTGGAGAGGACTCTACTTACCTCACGGAGAGATGGCAGGGGCGTGGGGAGAGGGAATAAAGATGATGAGCTCGTTTCCAGCCTCTCCACTTGAATGTCTAACAGGCATCTCTAAACTTGACACATGCAGAACCAAGCTCCCCAATCTCCACTCTGCCTAAACCAGCAACACCTACAGTCTCTCACTTAATTCTTCCATTTGTTCATTCTTGACTCCTCTCTTTCACTCACAACCCACTTCTAATCCATCAGCAAATGCTGTCAACTCGACCTTCAAATTATATCCAGAACTCAACCACTTTCTACCAGCATCACGTCTCACCAAGATGACAGTAATAACCTTTATCTGGATTCCTTGTTTCCAACCTTCCCTGCCCCCCATCTTTTGACACAGCAGCAAGCAGTCAAGTCCCATGCTTTGCCTCCACTGTTCATTCACATTAAAAGCTGAAGGCCTTACCCTGACCACAAGGCCTCACATGGTATGGCCCCATCACTTTCCTCTCCACACCATTTGCTCTCCTCTGCACTCACTCTGCCCTCCTTGCTATTCCCCATACATGCCAGTCACTCAGGACATTAGCACTGGCTGTGTTCTCCCCTACACCTACATGGCTGGCTCCAACTTCCTTCCGGGCTTTACCCAAGTGCTACCTCAGGGAGACCCTCCCTACCATCCTTCCTAAAAGCTTACACACACCTAATATTTCATATCCCTCTTCCCTGCTTTGTTGTTTCCTCTTCACATTCATCAGGAACATTATTTATTTTGTTTATATGTTTTATAGCTTGTCTCCCCTACCAGAGGTTTAAGGTATAAATTTACATCTCTCTTCTTCACTATTGTATCTTCAGTGCCTCAAACAGTACCTGCAACCCACAGCTGGGGCTCAGAAAGCATTTGGAGTTTTGGGCTGCCTCCCCAAAGGTGACCAGCAGGTGGCAGCACAGGATCATACAAAACAGCTACAGAGCTTCCAGACTGGCCGCCTTAGAAGTATCCATGCCCAGGTTAATGGAGGTACCAATTCCCCATTTTAAAATGGAGACAAACCCCCTGTATTTATATTCCAGTTTGGTCATTTAGAATCTATAGGACACTGGCAAGTGACCCAACCTCTGAGCTTCAGTTTCATCTATATGATAAAAGATAGAAGACTGAGCTCTTAGGTTGTACATTCAGTGAGATGATTATGCAAAGGGCCTTGTAGTCCATGAGGGCCTACATACCAAAGGGAGGACATGAGGGATGACCCAGGCCTCCTGTCTCCTTTCCCAGAGGCTCCCAGGCTGGGCTATATAGAGCTCACCTGGTTCCCAAGGCTCCCTGGCCAGATGGCCATCTGTGGTCTGAGCTCTGAAGACAGGGGCCACTCCAACAGAGAGCAGCCCAACTCTGTACAGTCTTGTCTACTCACAAAGCGAGATGGGAAAGCCCACAGGTTGGGTAAGTCCTCCGTGTCATGTCTAACTTGGAGACTAGAGACCAGGAATGCAGGACTCACATAGCACACGGCTGCCAACTCCTGACGCAAGGCTCCACTTTCCAAAGTAGAGGATGATGCCTTCTGAGGGTTGACTCCATTGTCATAAACAGTGAACTTAGTGCCCATGAGGTTAGACCTGAAGGACAGGCAATCGATAAAGGATCATGCACCTTCTGCCCTAAGGCAGGGAAAAGCTCAGTCTGTCCCATGAGGAGCCTGCAGAACATACTGGATTGAGCCAGGAACAGACCTGGGTGGGGGGGACCCCGCTCACTGAATCCCCATGTTTGATCGTGGGCACAAGGCCTGGATTTGCTCTGAAGAGAATCAAAGGGCATCTTAGTTCAGTGAGGGAAATTCCAGGAGGTAAATCTGGGATCCACAAGTTTCCCTCAAGGAACAGGAGTGCTCCTCTCATGGGAGGTGAGCAAGCACAACGGCATGTGGCAAGACTGTAAAGGGGACTCAACATCCTGTAGAGAGTGGATATCACAGATGAACTCCTCTGTCCCATCCAGCCCATGGTGTTGGTCCAGCCCCATCTCCAGCATTACCTCCTCATCTCTAAGCTTGACTTCTGTTTCCCCGATCTGGCACTCTGCTCCTCAGCAAACATTCCCCAAGAACTAGCTCAGAGCCCTTCTCCGATCCCAAGGTTGCATTCTCTTCCCTCAAGGGCTCTAGCACAGACCATGGGGCCACAGCAGCTCTTCCATGGTGGCCTACATCTTCAATGACTTCCTGAGATTTTGATCCACCACTCTTGGCAGACCTGTGCCCCACTCGCCTGGGAGCAGCTTAGGGTAGGGTGCGCAAGGTCCATCCCCAAGTCTGGCTCTAGACTGGCACAGACCTGGGCCTGTGGTTAGAGCTGATGGACAGACGGAATTCCATGAGCAGATCTGACCCCTAACCTAGAGCTCCTTCAGGGACAAGACATGCTCTGTCCAGGGTCTGGCCCTGCCCCTCCCTCCCACCCCTGCCTGCTTCCCAGGGGAGCGCTAGTACCGCAGTTTCCCGATGTAGCTGTCCCCTCCTCGAGACAAGTCTGTTGGGTCCACAGAGATGAGGTAATTGGAAGTTTTACTCTTCTTTCTCTTCCTTCCCGCCAAGAGGAACACCTTGGGGAATGGAGCAAAGTCACGTTCCAGGCCCAGCCTCTGGTCACAATTACGGGTGCCCCTCACACACACGACTCTCCCTTGCGTCAGCTCCTGAACATATGTGTGTGCACGCACACATGTGCACCAGCAGACACAAAGGTACGCACCGACCAGGTACGGAGGCTTCTGTCCCTTTGGGGGAACTGAAAGGTCAGTGTTGGATCTGAGGCTTCCGGTCACATCCCAGCCCCGGGACCTCAGGCCATCCCCCGGCAGAACTGCAGGTGCAGGCCAACCTCACCTTCTTCCCATCCTCGCGGTCCAGGTGCAGGAAGTAGGTGGGGTACATCCCCCGGTCCATCCCCTTCTTGTCCCGCGTGATGCGGCACTTGATGGTGATACCTTGGGGGGCCGGCCTCAGTGCAAACTCCTCAAGATCCTGGACCTCAACATCCCCCGAGGGTTCTGGGGCTGTTGGGCTGGGGGCCGAGGCTGCCTCCTACCGGGGAGAGAGTAGGAGCCTGATGCCCCAGAGATCTGGAGCAGGTGCAGTTGGCAGTCTGGGATCCAAAGCTGCCCTCTGGGGTGGTGGTGGTGGGAACTGGGGCAAGGTCCTTGGGACATGGGCCTGGCCATGCTGGCCCTGGGGTCAGCAGCCAGCACCTCAGCCCTTCTCCCACCTCAGTTGTGCCTGGGGGTGGAGACGGAGGATGTGGGCAGGTTCTCAGGGCCATCCTGTCCAACTCGAGCCCTCCCCCTCTGCCCCCCGCTCCTGGCCTGACTGGGGAGGAGGCAGGATAGGACAGAAGAGCCCTGGCCCAGAGAAGCTCCTGGTGGGCACCTAGGCCTAGTCCCAGGAGAGCCAACTATCATTTCTTCACACCCATTCCCCTGCAGCCCGGATGATCACCCTCCGAAGACTGCCGTCCACACCCCTGCTGGGCAGGAGAGCGCCTCACCCTGACAGACTTCCTGCTGGTAGCAGAGCTGGGGCGGGTGTTGCTGTTTAGCTGGGAAGAACTGGAGCTATTCTCATCCTCATCCTCCTCTTCTTCTTCAAAGCTCATGCTGCTAGAGACACCTGGGCCAGGCAGGGGAGCAGGCAAGGCCGAGGGGTCACATATACACCCCTGGACAAACACCTGTTCAGAAGCACTGAGCCACCCGTACACGTACAGCCATATGTACACACGTGGGTACACACACACACCCAAATATACGCAAGGACACATTCTCTCAAGCGCACGCGTGAGCTGGGGATGCTCACAGTCAGTGTGTGACCCCGCCCCAGCTTTAGCTCAGTCCCCCCATGAGTTTCCCCCAAACCCCCAGTCACAGTGCCCAACTCCTGGGTAGTGAGGCCTGAGCAGAGCTGACCCTGTGCAAGGGGTCTTCATGACCACCAGAGGCCTCAGCTGGCACAGGCAATGGCATCTGCTTGGGGGAGGCCCAGTTCCTCACCCAGCCTGATGTGCAGGGGCTGCCGACTCCCCTCCCAGCCTGTCTGCGGCCTTCTGTCTACGCATCGCTCCCCACCTGGAATGCTGTCCCCAGCCTCACGCTGCCTCAGTGGCCCTTTCTCCAGGAAGCCGGCCCTGATCTGACTTATTGGAGCATGTGGCACTGCCAGGCTTCCCTCTACCACCGTGTGCCAGGGACTCCCTCAGGCAGGGCTCACGGAGGTGCAACTCTGGGCAGCAGGTTTCCCGGGAGGATGTGCCCTGCCTCTCGGCATTCTGGCTCTGCTCCCCGAGCTGAGCAGGTACAGGGGAAACATTGTGCAAAAGGAGCTTTTTCAAAGGAACCAAAGGGAAAGGAAATCTGTCTCCAAACCCGGACCTCCCTGGGGACAGGAGATGGAAGTAGGGAGAGAGGGCTGGGCTGTGGACAGGTTGCTCACTCCAGTTCACATCTATTTCCCTTAACTTGGCCTTATCAGGGGCCCCTACACCCAAGTTTCTCATTGGTGTCCAACTGTGCTCCCCTACCAGGGCCTAGAAGGGACCGCAACAGACACAGGAGGACCATGCTCCTCCAGAAGGGTACATCTATGAACCTGGGACTGAGCTTCCGGGGTGTCACTGAAACCCCACAGGGCTCACCCTTCCTCTGCATCGTGGCACGGAGGTCCTGCCCGCTGGGCTGTGCGCCCCCACCAGCTGCCGTCTCCCCTGCATCCTGGGCGTGGTCTGACTGGCCCACAGTCAGGATCTGCACCGGGCCTCGGGCCTCACACTTGTCTTCTGCCAGTGCTGCTGGCCCGCTGGTGCCTGCAGGCCACGGACACTCCTGAGTTCCGTGGGGATTCGGGGGGAGGGAGAATCTGGATTCTCAGACATCCTTAAAGTGGGTGAGGGACGAGTGGGGAGACTCCCTGCAAAACTTTATTTGCAAAACTGATCTTTAAAAAAAACTAATGATTGCTGCCAGCCTGTTAATTAATGATCGGTAAGCTACGAAGGGACATGGACTTCGTTTCTTCTGCTGTTCCCCCAAGTTAGCTGCCGAGGGTTGGTTTGAAATGCTTCACATCCCTATGGAAAAACAGCCATCTACAAAACCAACTGCACAGTGAAAAGGACAAGATGGAGAACAAAGATCAATGGTGACCAGACCCAAGGCCACCACTCGTTCACACGTGACCAGCTCCTGGTTACCAGTGCTGATCTCTCTCTCTCCAACACAGACACACCCATGCTGCTCGCTCGCTCGCTCACGCGCTCTCTCTCTCTCTCTCACACACACACACACACACACGGTAACTCATAGACATCATTCGAAACATATGGGGCCTCCTGAAAAAGGTGGGGTTTGGCATACACTTGCTTTCCCACATGGAAGATCTCCCGTCCCACATCACCCAGCCCCAGGTGCCCAAGTAACAGAAGGCCTGGCCCACACAGGTGGCAGCTGCCCTGCCTGGTTGGGCTGTGCTCCAAATGCTGCTGTCAGCTCCAGAAGCCTAGGAACCCGGACATACCACTGTCCAACCATGGCCCACAGGCCTGGCAATCACTGGCCCCTGCCCAAGGGTTGAGGACACAGAGTGTCTAGCCAGCAGAGACAGGACTCGTGGCAGGAGCCACTATAAAACTGTCCTCGATCTCTGGGGATCTTTTCTGGAGAGAGAGGAGCACAGAGAACAGACTGGTTTGTGGGCCCGGAGGCTGGAGTCAGGACTCGAGCAGAGAGTGGAGGAAGCCCACAGGGCAACCATGAGCGCTGCACAAGGATGGGCAGGCGGCCCGGGAGGCTGTGACACCTGCTGCAGGGAGCGTCCTGGGGCAGGACACAGGCAGCTGGCCAGGCAGGCACTCAGGCCGGGTGGGGGAGGGACTTCCCAGGCCTAACCCAGCCGAGATGCACGTCACTTCTGGCAGCAGGCAGAGCTTGCCCACACCCACAGGCCGGCGCAGGAACCCCATGAGCTAGACGAAGCCTGTGAGCCAGCTGGGTGGGGGCCTGAGTGCCATTCCGGGCCTTCGTGGAGGCCTCCCGCCCTGTCCCTTACCTCCAAGTCTGGAGGAGAAGCCTCCCCCCAACCCTCCAGTGGGAGCCAGGCCTCCTGAGGAGGGCTGTAGTGGAGGCAAGCCAACCTTTGTGCTTCCCCTTCTTCTCCTTCCTAGAGGCCCCGCCCTGGCCTCCTGCTGCTGCGGCTGCCTTGGTTCTCTTGGCTGAGGCTGGTGCTGTTGGGCGGGCAGCTCCCAGCTGTGCACTGGTAACTGGGTCGGCCTCTTGAACTGCTCAGGAGAGAGCCAGAGAGAGAGCAATGGGTGAGATCTAGGTGAGAGCAGAGGTCCAAGTGGAACTCACTTCTCAGCACAACATTTCCCAGGGCTGCGCCACCACCTGAGCCTCACCGGGGCCTCTGAACCACCCATCTTGACAAGGCACAGGGGCCCAGGGCAGGCTGGGCCGGAAGGAGGTGGCACCCCCACTCCAGTGTGATAAAGTCACAGCAAGCTGGCCCACACCATGATCCATCAAGAAGCACTGCAGTCAGTCTCTGGGCCAGCAAACATTCTGAGCCTGGGCAGGGGAAGGGAGAAGATCTGGGAGAATGTGGGTCACTGAAAATGGTGAAGACAGAAAAGGCTGCATCTCCTAGAAGAGCCCAGAACTAGCAGGACAAGCACGGCGGGGAGCCTGCGCTGGCCCTCACAGGACAAGTCCACAGGAGCCTGGATGCTGGAGCACCCGCAAGGCAGGAGAATAAATCTGGGACATGAAGAGTTGCACACACTGACAGAGAGGCCTCACAAGGATCACAGCTAGATGGCCTCCAAAGTCTCCACACATCAGGACCCCAACCTGCTCAAAGTCCCTGAATGACTTCTCAATGCTCATAACATGAAGATGACCAACATTCTCTTGTGAGTCTGGCCCCTCCAGCTCCCCTCCACTTGGCCTTGGCCTTAATCTCACACTCCTCACTTCTCAGGAGACCCAAGTCCCGGCCACACCAGGCTCTTTCAGTGCCTTGTGCACCTGGTCCTCCCTCTTGCCACAGAAGCCTTGCTCTAGCTGCCTGAACCGCCCTCACTATTGACTGTCCCCTAACTCCAACTGAACTCCCACTCAACCTGTGCCCTCCTCAGGGAGGCTTTCCCTGACCCCAGTCTGGGAGTAGGCTCTCTGCCATTCACTCCCGGAGCCTGGTTTCTTTCTGCAAAATACACCTGTGACTATCTGTTTAACTCTCTCTGCCCTCCAAGACCTTAAGGTTCATGTGTGAACAGAGACCACACCTGTTTTGTGCTTACCCAGGACCCTCAGCCTCTAATCCAGAGCCTAACATAAACCAAGCCCTCAAAATATATTTAGGAAACAAATATTTAACATGAACGAGCATGGCCAATAAATCAAAAACCACTTGCTGGGATAAACACTTCTGATTTACGTCAAACTCCCCAATCATCCTCTGGAAACGATCCCATTGTACTTAACACCAAGAGCCAGCAGAGGGCAGGGCGGAGACAGCTAGGGCTGCAGGTGGGGGTGGCAAGTACTCTAGGGCATCCCTAGCCCAGGCCAGCCAGTCACCTGTGCGGCCGCCTCCTGGGGCCCTGCCCGCTGCTCAGAGCTGGGCAAACACTGGCCCTCCCGGGCAGCAGGAGGCAGGCAGCCTGGTCTCGAGTCTCAGCAGGGAACAGCACTCAGCAGACTGGACTACCATGGAACACACCATGGCCGCTTCAATGTTTCAAAGCCCTGAGAAACAGAATTATCCTCACTTTGCAATGGGGGAAAACAGACCCAGAGAGGGGAAATGACTTGCTCACAGTCACAAGTGAGCAGGTGACCTATGGTGGTGCAACCAGAAGCTGTGTCTTGTCACATGGGAGGCACACTCCCTCCGGAAGGGCTGCCGTCCTTCTGCGAGCCTGGCCCTGCCCCGGGCACACAATCTGTACTCAAGAAAACAGCTGCTGAAACAGCTGCATGGCAGTGACTTACGAGACTCCCAAAGCCTCAAGATGCCTGAGCATATTCAGGGGCCCCGGGCTCCAGGCCCCTCCCTCGGCCCGCCTCCCTCCACCTGAACTGGGAGCCGCAACCAGCCTGAGCACACCCTGATGGGGTGAGCCCCTCGCCTGCGCAGGCAGGCAGAAAGTCCCTGAGGGGCTCCCCAAAACAAAGCCAGGGTATGAAGCCACAGCACGGGGGCCTGCGCAGGCTGACCCAAGGGCAGATACCTTGGTAGCTGGTGCTGCCACTGCTGCTGAGGTAGGACTCCACCAGGGGGGCCTGCTCCTCCGACTGCCGGGCCCGCCGGCTCCGGGGCCGCCCATCCGCATTGGCCTGCACCATCAGGGGTTCCTGACGCTTCTTCTTCTGCTTCTGCTCCAGCAGGGCCCGCTACAGAGGCACCGGACAGGCAGGGAAGTTGGCGGGCCCTGAGAGGGCAGCCTATCACTTCCGCCCAGAGGGCAGGCTCCCAACTGGGATCAAAGAGAAGGCCCTGCTCGTTCAGCTCAGTTCTAGAGGTTGCGATGGGATCCACAGCCCACTCCGGACCAAGGTACCTTGAGACTCAGGGTCCAGGAAAAGGAGGCAAAAGTGAGCCCGGGGAGTTGCCCTGGCAGGACCCCAGCACAGATGTCCAGGGTTCCACCTGCAGTGGTCCAGCTGCCTATCCCACAGAAGCCCTGGGTTCTGGGGCAATACTAATGCTGAGCTGGCAGAGAGGGCTTGCCTGTCTTCTGTGAGAGCCTCCTCCTCCCCAGAGCCACCCCAGGAAGGGAGACAATCCTCCCTCCCCACCCTTGGAGACTCAGGCCAAGACGGCAAATGCTGACCACGCCTCCACCTGGCCCCAGCCCCACTCACCTGCCGGTCAAGCTTCTGCTGCCTCAGGTTGCTGCCCTCATCATCTAAGACACTGCAGAGGGAGAGAGGGGCACTCAGGGCCTGCCTACCACATGCCAGGATGGAGCCCAGAGCCCACCCCCAGCACATCTGCATTCTTTAAACCCCTCCTGTCATGACTCCTGGGTACATAGGAGAGGGAGGAAGGGTGGAGCCACCCTCTGGAAATTGGCTCCAGACAAAAAGGTGTGAGCCATATTTTAGCCACTTTAGAGCTTTCTCCTGCTGGGATCCTTGCTGATTCAAGGAATTCCTAGTCAGCCTGGACCCAGTAAGTACAGGAGGAGACTTTCCCTTTGCGCCCATGAGCAGGAACATGCCTGAGATCCAGGAAACCTGTCCCAAGGCACCAGGCAGAAGCCGGGCCCAAGGCCGGGCTTCAGAGTCAGGCGCCCGTCCGTTCCAGGTGCCTCTCGGATCTCACCAGCTCTTCCCCTCTCTTTCCATCCTTTCTGGAGGAGGCTGGATCCTCTGGGGCAAACACCTTCCCCTTCTGTTCAAACTCCTGGCTCTCCGGGTGGCAGAATGGAGGTGCTAACACTGCCCACTCCCCTTCCCCACTTAAAGAGGGTTGAGGGTCCCCTCATTTGGGAGAGTGAAGCTAAAACACCAACCAGTCCCTCAGGGCAGGGCTGGGTGGGTGGGCATGTCAGCGCATAGCCCAGCAACCAGCCAATATGGCACCAATATGGCGCAGGGGGCACCAGGACATCAAATCCTTGAGTCCCTAAGGTCTTAGAACAGGTAGCATCACCTCACGTACACCAGACCTGCCTCCCGGGAAGGTAAGCATAATCAGCGAGCTCCAACCACTTAGCCTTCCTTCTCATCCAAGACACATACATGAGACCCAAGCCCAAATTCTATAAAAGCCAAGGTTAAGGGGTAAGACTGGAGCCTGAGGATCTGAACCCTGGGAATCCCCAGGCTGCCCTGGCCCAGTTATGCTGGAGCCTGCCCCTGAACCAGACCTGTGTGGGTACCTGCATAGGCTTGCCTGAGTGCATCAGGTCTGTGTGTGAAGCTCTAAGTGTATCTCATGCATGTGAACACACGGGGATGTGTGCAAATATAGGAGTACATCTACGTGGATAAGCACATACCTGGATATCAATGCATGTAAACACCTGCGTAAGAAGTGGGTGTGCTTGTGTGCAGGTGAGTACAGTGTGCATGTAACGGGGAAAGATGAGGTCAAGTCGCCCCACAGACAAGGTAAAGCCATTTCCACCTCCTCCTGACAACAGCAGTTCTTTCTAGCTAGACCAATCATTGACTTGAAAGGACCCTTCAGCTCAAACTACCTGTGCATCCATGTGCTGGGGCAGCCGGCCCGGGGGGAGAGGCAGGAAGTCCACGGATTACACAGCTCACTGCCCACCTCTGGCGTCACCCACACACCTCCCTGGCCACAACCTATAACGACTGCATGTTTTTAACTGGCAGCTGTCCTACCTACTGGAAGGCCTTTCCTGATACCCAGGGACTGCTGTACACTCAAGAGGAGCCCCAACTGTGATCTGGGGCCATGCACAGCCTTATTCACCAAAATCCTTGGCTGCCAGAGCACAAGAGAAAACACTACTAAACAGACATGCTCGAAGTCAAGGGCTCGGTCCACCTAAAATAGTCTAGAGCTGCATGTGGGACTCCCTGAAGGCATTGCCAGGGCCGAGGACAGGTTAGAAGCTCCTAAAAACGCAAGCTGTCTGGGACAGTGAGTGCCCCATCAGAGAAAACAGGCATGACGGGAGAGTGGCAGCAAGGGTCTTGAAGAAAGGATGACGGTACTAGAGTGAGCAAGATGCCTGGGGGCCCTGCCAGGTCTGAGAGGCTACATCTCTGCCACTGGTCTCTCCACCTAAGTCAGTGGTCTGACTGAATAACACCAAGGCAAAGCGTCTGCTCCCACAGACTTCAACAGGTCAGTCCACAAACACCACTGTCTACCCAGGGCTGCTGCACGAGCAATGCATATTCATTTATAACTTCCCGGATACAGATGGAGACTGCAGTCTGGACTCCATGTGGCACCTGGCTGACAGAAGCGACGGGGCCTGAAATCCACCCGTGCTCTGCTTGCCAAGCTCTGTGCCTGGGTGCACACGGGGCGGCCTGTGATCTCAGTCACGTGCCAGTGGCCTGGCTACAGGCGACCGTGTCACCTCTGCCAGACTGCCGGCTCCACCTCCTGCCAGCAGGAGAGGCAGTCTCATGGCTTGCTGGGATGATGCGAGTCGCTCGTACTTTCACAGGGCAGGGCAGAGGGCACTCATCTGGGTCATCCTGGCACTGGGCTTGCTGAGCAGGGCAATGAAGATGCCTCCCATGGTGCTGACACTAAAATCTAGGGTCATTTAGAAAAGGGGACATCCAGGGGCACCTGGGTGGCTCAGTCAGTTGAGAGTCCGACTTTGGCTCAGGTCATGATCTCACAGTTTGTGGGTTCGAGCCCTGCGTCGGGCTCTGTGCTGATAGCTCAGAGCCTGGAGCCTGTTTCAGATTCTGTGTCTCCCTCTCTCTCTGCCCCTCCCCTGTTCACACTCTGTCTCTGTCTCAAGAATAAACATTAAAAAAAAAAATTTTTTTTTAAAGAAAAGGGGACATCCATCTGAGGGTTAAGCTGACATTAGCAAAGCCACCTCCAGAACTGCTGGGTCACACTGGCAGCCGGATGGACAAAAGGTGGCTCCAGCCATGGTGGCCTTGCTGCCCAGTGCCTCTAATGTCCTTATTCGTGCAGGAGGGTACATTCCTACCCCAGGCTACTGTCCACTGCCACGGTCATTCTATAGTCACACCCAGGTAAGGAAGCTGCCTTCCTCTTCCTCTGGCCCCATCTCCTTTCCCTGATGGAGGAGAAAGATGAAGAGCTGCAGGCTTTAGCAACAGTGATAAGATTATAAGCAGAATGGACTTCACCACCGGAGATGGATGGATGAACAGAAAGATGGATGAACTAGGGGTAGGCTTCTGAAGAGATTCCAGAAACTCAGCCTGGAGGTGCCTAGAGAGCCATCCACCATGCCTGTTGGAGCAGCCGTGGGGGCGGGGGGGGGGGGGGGGGGGGGGGGGGTACGTGCAGGCTGGGGGCGGCAGTTGGGAGAAGCAACTTGTGCCCGGTGAGTCACAACGTGCCTGGCTGAGCAAGACCCACCCAGGAGGGCTGGCAATTAAAGGACCTACATGGAGTGGCTCCGACAGCAGGCAGCAGCAGGTACAGTGAACAGGCTCCTGGCACAGCACTGTTTCTAGGAAAGCCGCAAAGGCACGAGGCGAACCACGGTCCCCCAGCAGGGATAGGCTTGCACTGCCTAACCGCAATGTATCCGGGGCACACGACACCCGTCCCTGGTGGATAACGGAATCCCCGCAAACTCCAGCTGCTGAGGAGCACAATGACAACAAGGATGGCTGTCTCCAGGGAGTCAAGGAAACCCCTCTCACCTCCTCAGCAGGGCCGGGCTCCACCCCTCCAGACAGCCCTGCCTCTCAGCTCCCGCTTCAGCACCTTCCTTTCTCACTGACACTGCCTCTGTCTGATGGGCACTACTCTAGGCAGCATTAAATGATAACCACAGAGGAGACAGTAATGGCTTTTTAACAACTCGGGCTCCAATTATGGAACCACTGCCAAGCCCAGGCTGCCAGCTGCAGCCCCGCCAGAAGCCTCGGACAGGAGACAGGACACTGATGGATGGGGCCTCCAGCTGACCCTGGTGTCTCCTTCATTATAGGCATCTCCTGCTGGGGACGAGACCAGGGAGACCCAGGAAAGCACCATAAAATGGCTATGGGCACTGGGGCCTGACTTGGTAATCCAGAACTGCTGGGGAAATTACCCCAGAGTCAATCCCTCACCTCACCCTCGCTTCTAAAACAAGAGATGTAATGATGCTAATGCTCAGCCATGCAAATGAGGACCACGAGCCACACTGGCTCATGAGGGTCAGAGAAATCCAGGCTGCGGTGTCCATCAATCCATCCACTCTGCCCAGGACCAACAAGGTGGCCCCTTCACCTCCCAAGGAGAGCCCCTCCATACCCTCTTGCTTCCCTCCGAGATGCCCAACAGACATCTGGAGAGAAAACTGTGCTTGACAACAAATGAGAGCGAGGCACTTCTTCTCCCATGGGATGGAAGGGCCAGACAGGGACAACACATTTAGGAAGCCGGTTCCCTGCCTCTCATCTCAGACGCCACCCTACATGCTCAGCTGACCCACCAGAGCTGACCAGAGGCCTGGGGGTCAGGCTACCCAGGGACAGGCCCGTACCCCATGGCCAATTCACTCTCCCCTTTTACCCCCTCATTCCTTCCACTCAATCACAGTGGAAACTGCCCCTGTCGGACCCAGGGAATCAGGGAAATGGCCTACCAGAGTGGGAAAGACCACCCAGGGGGCCAGGCCACAACCCCTGTACCCAATGCCAGACTCCCCTACCCCCACCCCGGCACATTCAGATCTGTGGCTTTTGTTGCTTAGTGGCTGCTTGGAACATCATGGAAACAGTACGGCTGGGAACAGAGGGAGCCCCAGAAGGAAGAAGAGTCCCAGCCTCCCCGGATGGACCCTCTCCGTTCCAACCGCTGATTCCCAAACTTAGCAGGTGCGTTAAAACTGCTATGGGCACTACGGCCTGACTTGGTAATTCAGAACTGCTGGGGAAATTACCCCAGAGTCAATCCCTCACTGCACTCTCTCTTTTAAAACAAGAAACGTAGGTGATTCTAATGCTCAGCCATGCAAATGAGGACCATAAGCCACAGCTGGTGCTCTCTAAAGAACAAAAAAGAAATTGGAGAGTTGCTGGAAGTATGCAAATGCAACCTTATGTTCAGATGGGGGAAGAAATTATCGCCTGCAGATGAAGGAGTCTTATGTAGGCCCCAGGTTAAGATCACGGGACAGGCCAAGTGAGCAGCTACAAGACCCAGTGACCACCAGGAGCAAGCCCAGGCCACTGACAAGTCAGGGCACATGCCCCCAGACCTATCAGGGAAAACGGGAG